CCATTTTGGTAGATGCAGACTGCTTGGTTGGGGTCCGCGCAACTATCATAATCAATGGTTGGAGACTGTGGGTGATATGGCTCAGAATCAATCACAATGGCGTCGGTGTATACACTCTCTATCTTCCCTTAAACTAGGAGATTAAAATTGCTTCATATATTTCTTTCTACAAACTAAATATTTCTTCCTGTACTATATCCTTATTGCAATCTTTCTTTTATATATTACCACCACTGAATTAACTACTTTTATGAATCCGGTGTTCATCGCGTTGTGTTAATGAGGCATGGCAACTTGGATCGATATATGTATGTTCCTGGTCCTACGTTGCAGCTGACTGACTGACTTTCCCCTTGTGTATTTTGAGGCCTACTGATGTAGAGGCTGCTGTTACACTGCCTGTCTTTATCTGCATTTGTTCTTGTGTATGCGATAGGAGGGCTAGGTCGTCTCCGAAGTCTAAATGGTTTAATTGGTTCTGGTCTGTCCATTGTATGTCATGTTTTTCCTCAGATGTCGAGGTCTTCGTAATCCAGTCGACCACCAGAAGAAAGAGGAAGAGAGAGAGTAGACAGCCTTGTCTGACTCCGGTCCCTACTTGGAATGCGTCTGTCAGCTGTCCTCTATGCACTACTTTGCACTGTAGTCCGTCTTATTAGTTCCGGATAATGGTGACAATCTTCTCAGAAACTACGTAGTGTCGAAGAAGTTTCCATAATGTCCTCCTATCTACACTGTCAAATATCTTTTCATAATGAATGAAGTTGATGTATAGTGACGAGTTCCACTCAACTGATTGTTCGACGATGATCCGTAGTGTTGCAATTTGGTCTGTGCACGACCGATACTTTCGGAATCTAGCTTGTTAATCTCGAAGTTGGGCGTCTACTGCATCCTTCATCCGGTTCAGCAACACTCTGTTGAAGACTTTCCCTCGTACAGACAATAGTGTAATGCCTCTGTAGTTCTCACATTTGCTCAGATGTCTTTTCTTTGAAATCTTGATGAGATGTCCTTCTTTCCGCTGTTGTTGAATTTCAGTGATTGGCCTACCTTCTTTGTTCTTGACCGGTCTCTCTGGTTTACTATATTTCCCTGCTAGTTTCTTTGTTGTATCGTAAAGTTGTTTCATATTTCCTTCTCTAACAGCTTTTACCGCCGTCGTTGCTAGTTCTTCCACGTACTTCTTCTTGTCGGTTCTAATGCTCTTCACTTGCTTGTTTGCTTCTATGTATTCAGCTTGTGCTTGGACTTTCTCTGCTGGTGTTCGGCTGTTGTTAATTGCTGTCTTCTTGTTCTTCCTTGCCTTGATCCTGTCCAGTGTTTCTATAGAGATCCATTCCTTATGATGATGCTTCTTGAGGCCCAGAACCTCTTGACACGTTGAAGTTAATGTTTCTTTGATAGCTTTCCGGTTGTCCTCCATAGTAGTTTCTTCTTCTTTCAGTAGATCCCTTAAGGTTTGGAACCTGTTGTTGAGATCTATCTTGAATTCATTGAGTTTGTCAGTATCTCGACGGAAGGCTGTATTGAACCTTTGTAATGATGTTTGTCCAGTTGTCCAGTCCCTTTTTAGCTTCAGTTTGAAATTGGTCACAACTAGGTGGTGATCTGAAGCTATATCAGCTCCTCTCCTGGTTCTCACATCTTCCATTGTTCTTCGGAATTTTTTATTGATGGAGATATGATCTATCTGGTTCTCTGTAGTGTGGTCCGGTGAGATCCATGTAGCCTTGTGTATACGCTTGTGTGGAAATATTGTGCATCCTATGACCAATTTGTTGAATGCACATAGATTTGCAAATCTTTCCCCATTTTTGTTTCTTTCTCCCAGTCAATCCATGTCGTCCCATGATATCTTCATATCTGGTGTTGTCTATTCCGACTTTGGCATTTAGATCTCCCATTAGAATGGTGAGGTCCTTTCGTGGGTATTTCACTATGATTGACTGCAGCCTTTCACAGAATTGATCTTTAATGTCGTCGTTGCTATCATTGGTGGGTGCATAACACTGGATAGTATTCATTGTGATCCCCTCCTTCTTTGTTTTGAATGATGCTTTGATGATTCTGGATCCGTTAGATTCCCGTCCTACAAGTGCATTTCGTGCTACTTTGGACAGCATTAGAGCGACTCCCTGTGTGTGTAGAGCATTTTCCTCTTCGTGACCGGAGTATAGCAGCATCTCTTCCCTATCTAGCCTTTGTTGTCCAGCTTGGGTCCAATGGGTTTCGCTGATTCCCAGTACTACCAAGTTGTATCTCCTCATTTCCGTTGCTATTTGACTGGTCTTCCCGGTCTCCCACATTGTTCGGACGTTCCATGTATCAATAAAAATTGTTGCTCTGTACGTTAGAAGTATTGTGCAGGTCTTAATTCGAAATCCCCCTTCACACAAGACCAGTTAACATGGAAAATTATTTTAGTTTGTTTTGCAATCTGAATATAATAAGTATTCAAGTATGTACATCTGCTGATTTATTAATGTCAATTTATGTACTACATCGTAAAATATATAAAAAAATTATTTAATTAATTTGACTGGTTCAAGTTCAAAGTACATTTTTTGAGCGTTAATTAGTTTGTCCACCTGGTATGATGCTCTTATATAATGACATTGTTTTCTGGATATTTCCAGTTAGTCAAAAAAGATTACAAAACAAAGAAGCAGGACAAGTCTTAATATTCTTTTGTATGCATATAGTGCCTAAAAGATTATATTTATGGCTATTATGGCTATTATATAGTTAATTTTTTTATTCTCATTATCTGTTCAATACTGCAAATGTTCAACTTTATTGTTTCAGCACTGGAGGTTATCGTGTTGGCATATTTTGTGCAATTCGTATTTTAATTAGCCAATTTTTAAGTGATCTTATACTCGATGTATACTTCGTTTTCAAAATGTTGTGCATACAACGACCTCATTTGTTTAGGGGTTATGTAAGTATTTATTATTATTATTCCTCAACGTTTGCTTTCCACTGTTTAATTGTTAACTTGCTACTTGTTAATTTATTATATTGTAGTACACCTTAAGTGAAGATAAATATTATATTATTCCTAGTGGTTTGTTTATATCAAAGCATTTCCTAAAAGTTAATTAAAACGTGGAAGTGAGTTATCCATACAGATGTTTATACAGCTTGACCATATAAGCGAAATGCATGTCATTTCTGAGATTCCTGAACAATAAACAGACAAGTTGCTGCTATTTTCGTTATTCTCCAGGTCATTTGTAATCGAATATTATGTATACGATTTATTGATGATAGAAAATTCTGTCCAGACTACTAACTATTGTTCTCAAATATGTTTCCATGTTTTTAAAAGTAGGACAAAATACAAAATATCGAGATGTTAATGAAAAGGTATATTTTAACGTGACAAATTAAAGAATGCCAAGTGGTTTCCGGATGTTATTTAAAGACGAGCGGGTGTATTTGACTAGGTTATACACAATTTTTTTGTTTATAAGTTTACAAGGATAGATTTAGTTATATTTCTGTCTCCAGAGATACCAATCCAATAGCTTTTATGTTAATAATATACTTTATTTTTTCTGTATGAAATATTTAGTGGGATTTGGAATTCGTGTATACTCTTCTGCAATATTATTTGAAGAATGAATTGTCACCTTCTTGGCAATCGAATTCAATAGGTTCACGTTATGCAACTTTATATTATATGCTAGAAGGACGAGATAATTCCAACAAAGTATCAACCATCGAACAACATACATCTCCTAGGCGAATATTAGGTAACTTATTTTCTGGTCGTCGTCGATTAACTGATCCGAAATGTCAACGTCCTACTCGAAGTAATAACGATTCGCTTTTGTTTAATGAAACTACTACTATTAGTCGAAATAATTCTCTTTGTAATCACACTAACTATAATAATTCATTTTTAAAACACACCAGTCAACATCTATGCAACAGTATTAGTAATAGAACCAGCATATTTACGGATCCATATCATCAAGAGGAACCACTTTTATCAAATCATTTTTCAAATCATCGTGGACATGCAGTGCATCGTTTACTATCAAAACACCAATCTGTTGAATTTCCTTCATTCCAGTCTATTAACAATCATAATAATAACAGTAGAAATTATTTTACTGGGAATCAAATGGAATATCCCACCCTATGATTTACGTATTGTACGTAAATATAAGCGCCGTAAAATAACTTCGTAGCTTCTCCGTTAAAATATGTTTGCAATTGTAAATGAGAATCTGTTTTTTTTTAAAAAGTTTTATATTTTTTATTTGTTCAATGTTGTTACTTTGTTTACTAGATTACTTGTTTCACTTCTCTTATACCCATGTGCGCTCTTATCTTGAATATATATATCAGCATTTAACTTGATCTGCTTATATTATGTTCTCTATTATATTTTTTCCTGTTGTATTTTACTTTGTTTTAATTAACCTTGGTTATTATCAAGTGTTATTGACATTTACATATTACTTTGTGTGCTTAATATTATCCTAGACAAAAACTAATAATCTAGTCTACAAGTGAAATCAGCAATTCATTTTTCAAATGATCCTGGTTAAACTAGGTGACTAATAAGTTTGTTCAATTTACTGCTATTAGGCTTGTTTTTCGTCCTAATGCGGCATAATTATCTCCTGGTATCATGTATACCATCGGTAGTCGAGTCGCTGTGAATTATTCATATTTGTGTGTATTGTTTTGATCCCAGACATAGGTATATTGTCAATGGTGTCAAGGATTTTTATTTGTAAATTCTCATATTTCTAGGATAGCAATATTATCTGCGCATTTTGTTATTTATTTCTATTTTCGTTCAATCTAGTTTTTGAGTCTCCTCTTAGATTACTTAAGGTTGTTGATACTGTGAAAAACTATCTCATAACTACTTTCTTTTTTATGAAAATATCTGTTTTACTATTTTTAATTTTAAATAATATAAATTACAAAATCCATTTTGGCTTTTGTTTTTTGTATGCTAGTTGGTGTCTATATGTGTTTTCTAATCAGGACTGATAGTTTGTTTGGTTTTATGACGAGTTACGATTGTGAGTTCAATATATCTTCGTGCCGTTAGTGAAGAACATGAAGAACTTATATTGGTAGTAATATATGCTAAAAGTTACTCTATTTTAACTGTATGATTTGTGCACCGTTTATGTTTTCATATGCAGTTTACAAGTCTGATATAGGTGTGTATTCAATGTGAAGAGATATATAAATAATCTTAACTGCTGTTTTAGGTTGGTCGCTTTTTACATTAACTTCAATATTTCCATGCAACTAAACATATTACTGTGGAAGTAGATAACGTGTCCTATGTAATTCACATTTATATTTGATATGTTTGTCTTTTTGCTAACAGTATGACAAAGTGGTTTAATAATTAATAATTTAATATACATAATTTCTTCAGTTTTAGGATATTTCAAACATGTCTAGTCGTGAGGCTCCAGCATCCATTTCAGCTATTCGTAATCCAAACAGTCAGCTTGCTGGTCTACCACCTAGACCTCCTCTTTCAGATGCCGCTTTGTTTTCTTTGATTTTAACTGTTCGGGAGGCTGGTCGGCGTTTAGCAATGAGTGATTATGCCATCGCCACAGCTTGCACAATATTACACCGAGCTCTACGTGTTCTTACTACTGGTGATGAACAACCAGTTGCAACACTCGCTACTTCTGGGTCAGCAACTGTCAATGGATCTGATTCAGTTTCTGGTTTCGACTCAATCGACCAATCTTTTAAACATAGCTTGGGAGATATCGATGCACATGTAAGGTCCTTATTTTACTCTTTGAAAATATGTCATTAAAACTATCATATTTTACCAAACCAATTATTTAGTACATGACTAAACTAATTCATTTTTCCTTTTTACTGTCCACTAACTAATTTCTTTGTAATGATTTTAAAATTACTAACTTCTATGACTTAATTTTCTGATATATTCATTCTTTTTCTAAAAATGGCGTGAAACAGGTGTCTTTTTATCTAATTATAAAAAACTAACTCCTGGTTGTTTGTGTTCTCCCTTGTCAGTTTTGTTTGATGACTTAAAAACAAATTATTAACCCTAAAAATGATGAAATTAGTCTGCTCTTTAAATAACCATACATTCAATATCGAATGCATTTGTCGTTTGAAACAGTACTCGATAAAATGAAACGAGTGAATTTGACATTCTTATCAATGCACGGTTAATTTGATAGACAAAATATAACATATACATGCTATATCATTGTCCTGTAATCGTTCATAGTTACATAATTATCATAGAGTATACAGAAATCCGCAATTCGGAGTGTTTCAAAATTTTCGGTAGGATATTCTAAATATTTATAAAAAACAAATCAATTGATTATAAGGTTGTGAGATGTTTCCATTTCCTTTTTAATTGAATTTTATATCTGCTAGTAAACACATGTTCGTGTAACAAGTAGCTGCTATAGAAATAAGTGTAACTTTGTTTCACTGTTTTATTGAACCAAAGAACCATAATGGCACTGTCCAATTTTGTATCAACATACATGCATAAATTTCTCTTATCTCGTACGTTTGGTCCATTTTCACTAATGGGTGTTTGTTTAGTAATTATACCAAAAGCAGATTTGTCGTATATTTCTACATTCGGTAATCGGGTTTTGTTCAGTTCAATATATATAGTCTAGTCTAGTCTAGAAATAGTTTGACAAATAATTTGTTAACAGTCCAAAGACGTTTTGCTTTAAACGAATAACTTTATTATGTTTTTCGTTTCAATATGAATATCCCCCCATATTTTTATGTTTTATTTTCCTTGTTTTACATTATTCAGACGATTGCTATGGCATCTATCAGCCTTGGCGGTAAAGTACAAGAAGAACACCAACGACTGCGTGATGTGATTGTTTCTTATTACAGGTACAGGTGTAATATTTTAATCTAAAATATATCTTTATAGTTTAAATCACAAACTGATCTTAGTTGGACCACCATTAGAAACCTGAGAGCAGTGGATCACTGTCGGAGTACGGGACTCCTCAACAGTGTGCATCCGTGATCCTGCATTCAGCAATTTAACACATTACAGTCGGTTTTGCACGTGAACATTTAATCTGTAGATCACTGAGCTGGCATCCAACGGTTTTAGTAATCAACTTCATCCAATTCAAGATGTTACTCGGCTATTATCTATTACCTGTGATGGATAACTGTTTCACGTCAAACATGATTAAACTCCACCTGTTACGCTTCTCACTTGGACTTCAAGAATCTCATTTTAAAGCTTGAAGAAAACGACCATCCTGTGCTTCCATGTTTCCAATGGTGGTTTCACCGAAATTAGTTTATGATTTAGATTTTTAACATTCTATGATTTCCACAAACCTCACTGTACTTGAATATTTCTGTCAAAATTTTTCTACGTGCTTTCTGGGAACACGTGTATGTTGTCATTGAGCAACGTGAAGTTCCAAGTGGTTTTTCAAGTATAATTGCTTCATAAAAACAACCATTGTAGATTTACTAAGTTTTTTTAAGTTATCTAATTTGTTTATTTATTTATTTGAGCACAAATTTTGGTACAAAGGGGCACTAAATATATAGGCACCACACAATAATAATGAGAATGTGAAGAAATAAAGACTGTAAGGTGCGTATAAGAAAAAAGAAGTAAACAATGAACAGAAATTAGTGTGTGTTAGTGAAATAATAATAATGGGAGAGGCAGTTTAATTAGCAAAAGTAAAGCCACAGAGAATTCTTCCACTTAAAGAAGTTACGTCTTTTTTCATGAAGAAAGTAAAATAAAGTTACAGCAGGATCGCGACTGGTTTATATTTTGAGCCATATCTGATAACGTCTCTAGCCACTGTGTTACACCATCTCTCGGAGCCCAGCCAGGGAGTCGAGAAGGACCAACAGAAGCCATCTCTTTGCAAATTTCTTTCATACCACGACACCATGTCATACACTGACCACCTCTCCGCTCTTTCCAACCAATCCCATTGTCGCCAAATAATGCACAACGTGGAATTCTCTAGGACGACATTCGTAGAGCATGTCCAAGCCACCGAAGTCGATGTTTTAAGATGGTGACACCAATTAGATTATGGTCACCGAGCCCGAACACACGATGCCGAACCTCTGTATCACTGACATAGTGTTGCCATTGGATGTCAGCAATCCTTCGGAGACAACGATGATCGAACACAGAGAGTCGTCTAACGTCCTCAACTCGGAGAGGCCAGGTTTCACAAGCATAGAGCAAAACTGCTCTCACCGATGCGTTGTAGATCCGAAGTTTTACAATCAGACTATCGTCACGAAAGCAGTGAAGATGGCCGAGATTGGCATAAGCCGCTCTGGCTTTCACTATACGTGAATTGATCTCATTACTCACGCCAGCACCGGCACTTATATCGCTACCTAGATACACGAACTTCCCGACTGCTTCTATCTGCTCACCATCCAGGGTGAGTACAGGATTGGAACCCTGCCAGTCTTGTAGAAGTACTTTGCACTTCGAAGGTGCAGAGCACATACCATACCTACGGACACTGATTGCCGACTGATTAAGTGCGGATGGCATGCCTTGGGCATTATCGCACAGTAAGACAATATCATCCGCATACTCAAGGTCGAGAAGTCTTTCTCCAGGCAACAGATCCACACCGCCATTACTTACATCCATCAGAGCTGTTTCCAGAATGTCGTCGATGACAAAGTTGAAGAGGAATGGTGAGATTGTGCAACCCTGTCTAATCTCAGTGCTCGAATGGAACAATGGAGAAAGGTGGTTGTATGCCCTCATTCTACCTGAGGTGTTTTTATATAGGGCTTTTAGGATGTTAATAAACTTCTCAGGCACACCCTTCTTCAATAGACAATCCCAGAGAACAGTCCTGTCCGGTGAATCGAAGGCAGCCCTGATGTCAAGAAACACTACGATTGTTGGCCTTTGATAAGTATGGCGGTGTCCTAACATTTGGCGGAGGGTGAAGATATGATCAATACATCCTCGACCAGAACGAAACCCAGCCTGCTCCTCGCGAGCCAATCTTTCTCGGATTTTGAACAACCTACGAAGTATGACGGAAGCCAATAGCTTGGACGCAATGGGAAGTTGGCTTATCCCATGATAGTTGTTACAGGAACGACGTGAACCCTTTTTTTAAAGATAGAGACGTTTATCGACTAATTCCATGACGTTGGTACACTCTCTAGCTTCCAAACCTTCGTAAACAACGTTGTCAGTTCCTTGGTCAGAAAGTCACCACCATCTTTAAAAAGAGCCGGAGGTAAGTCATTCGGGCCAGGTGATTTGTAGCGCTTCAGGAGTTGAAGTTCCTTTCGGATTTCCGCCTCACTTTGTGGATCAGTCGTCACAGGTTGTGGAGGGAAGGGACCAGTTAAACTGCTCGTCGAAAAACTGCCCATCGTTCGAGACGTCTTTTGATGTTAGTGATTGGCATCCCGTCATATTCACAGATTGTTTCGCTCACACCAGAGTTCTTGCTGCCAGTGGCTCGGATGAGTTTAAAGAGTTTCCGGCAGTTACCGGATTCACCTGCTGCTTCCAACGCTTCGACCACCAGGCTTCTGGGCCATTACGTAAGCTTTGAACAATTTCATTATATAACAGTCGTCGTTTGTGGTCAAACTCACGGTCACTCACAAAGTAGATCGACGGGCTTCAGTGATTTGTAAGGAGCCAGAAGAAACGCAGTGCTTGTAAGTGGGACACATGGGTTCCAATATTCTTTTAAACTCATCTTTTCTTGATTGCCCAATGGATTTTTAGCATTTACGCCTTATCACACCAATATTTTTCTTTTTCAGGACACTTCACAAAAACCGTCGTAGTCCTTTGGAAGTCGGTGATGATTATGATCGTTTACGGGAAAGTCTTGTACAAACTGAATTATTTCTGATGCGACTGTTAGCTTATCACGTTCGTCGTCCCTCTCTACCACATCCATATCTAGTTCATTATCTTCATTCATTACTCCATTGGGTTGGTAAAGGTATAGCACAGCCATGCGGGTCCGATTTGAACGCTGGTGGAAATTCAGTAAATGCTTCTGCAATTGCATTAGCACGACTTCCTGGTTTGGCTTGGTCAATACTGGCGGATTCTTACCAGTCAGCTATGTGTTTAGATTTCGCCCCAGAGCATATCGCTGCAGCCGTACTGCATTTAGCTTTACGGATTGCTGGTGTTGAAATACCTGGTAATCGACACTCTGAAATGGCCTGGTGGCAGGTAGCTTTCAATTTTTATTTCTTTTAATAATGTTTTTCAGTGTATTTCCAAATTAACACCTAAATTCACAATACCGATGAGTCGTATGATTACGGTATGTGTCTAACTCAGACTTATGCGACTTAGCTGAGGGTGAAACAAAATTCTGACATAATTTTCAGAAGTAATAATTTTATGTTAGGTTGTTTGAGGTAGTCATGTGATTCATATCGTATACATCAGATGGTGTAATCAAAGTCATTTAAATAATAATCTGGTCGTTGACTAATAATACACCTTTACTATGCAGAATACACAAATACTATTTTGTATGAGGGTGTAGAAGTAGTTTTAAACATGTATTTTAATAGACTTGAACAGTTATTGTGTACTAAACGATCTGACCAATCATTTTATTGCGTAATTTAGTCGTTGAATGAACTTTTATTGTGAATTTAAATCTATCTGCTGACTACTTATTTCTCTGACCGAACAATTTAGACCATTAAGTGATACACTGTTAAAACTGTTCTTTTTTTAAAAAAGACAGCGAAATATCCCTCATGTTTGTCACTGAATGGTCATTTCTTGTTGTCTCGTCCCTTTTATGTGGTCATATACTATTGACCGGATCCCAGTGAGGCTACTAAGCAAGTGAATCATTATTGAGTACACTGTACTAGGTGGTTGAGGAGAATTAAGAATAAAAGTCATACCTACTTTTCCCGTCCATTTGCACTGATGGATACTCAAAAACCCATCCCATCTGGCTCTGAACATGACGAAAAGCAAAGTCCGCTTAAGCGCAAGCTACGCAATGATCGCGAACAGTGGTGGGTAGCGAAAGCAAGAGAGATAGAAAAGAAAGTGGCAATAGATAACAGCAGACAACTGTTCAACCGATGGTTAGAGACCTTGAATGACATGGCTCAAAATCGTTTGCGATGGCTCAGGTGCATTTACTCTGTGTTCTTCCAAATCTTAATCTTCTGAATTCTTCATGTCCCTTCTTTCTCTTTCCAAATTTATTTCACTGAATTATACTCCTTGAATAATATCTTCAATCCCTAATCTTTCCGAATACTGCTTATACTCTCACTATTTCTACCACTACGTGTTTTGAATCGACAACTGCATCTCTGTGCTAATGTGGTATGGCAACTCGAACTGATGTACGTACGTACGAAGTTCTACGTTGTTGCTGACTGACTGACTGCACTCGTTTGATTCTAAAGACTTGATCATCAAAATGTTTTGTTAATAGATAAATTTATCTATACGTTATAGAGTATTGGTCAATAATTTTAAAACTATTTCTTGTTTTTCAAAGGCTATTTCAGATAGTTTGTCCCGTGAAATAGTTGAACAAATCCAACTTCGAGTAATGGATATTTATGCAGTGGATGATAAATTTAAAGCCAGTACACTTAATCGTTTCACTGATGAATTTTGAGGATGTTGGCGAACACCTTTGCATTTTTTATACTGTTTTTCATGTACATTCGAAATGTATTGTAAAGAAAATTTAATATTGAAATTTGTTAACATCCTAGTCGTTTTTCATTGTGTTTCTTTCCACACTTCCCGTTTCTCATTTGACGATTTAAAATGATCCTGAACATAGATTAATCAAAAGTTTTCTGAAATTCTATTTCCACTGCAGACACTCGATTCTTTGAATATCACAAAGTATCAATCGTGTTTTTCAATAAGATTCATATACATACGTATACTTGTTGCTGTTTTTTTTCTGTATTCCTGCTTTCTACAAACGTCACATAGTTTCTTATTGTGTTCATCTTCTTAGAACTGCTTTTTGATGTATCCACTGGCGGATTTAAATAAATTAATTGTATCAGGTGAATTTTTTCCCAGTAACTACTATTTGTAGTTTGCAGCCGTCATTAGGTGGCATTAAAAACCTCAAAAGTGCACTCCCATTAATTCTTCAATGATCGTGGTCATCACCTTGGGGTATTGTGATGAACATATAACCATTAAAACCACTGTCTAACGATGTTTACCACCTGTAATAGATTATTCCTCATTTGATTAGCTTCACCTACTGCCCTGTGTTTATGAAACAAAGAGAAACCTTTATCAGAATCAAAAGTGAAGTTTATCAAATAAAACTCATCTTTTGATGCTAACTATTTACTTAAGTAAATTATCAGAAAAATAGTTGTATATTTCTTATGAAGCTAAAATGTACCTTGATCTTATTCCCTTTCTTGGGTCGATATTTAACCTTTCATAACTAAGCTTTTGTTTTATCACGACGCTGTTTTAGAAAACGCGTTACAAATGAATCGCCGATACTTGCTCTCATATTTTTTGACATATTCGTGGCTGCTTTCACGTTATATATTTTTTGGACATAGCTACCGTTTGGCTGTTCAAGGCATATAAATAATTCCTACGTATTATACTTGAAAATTGACTAGTGAATTCTGTTTGAACAGATTAGTTTTCTTTTGGAAATACTTTCACTTATCCGAAATTCATTTTAATCAGACTGATATATTTTATGAACATGATTTGCATTTTTCAATGGGTTTTATTATTCTCAGCAAAAAATTTCGAATTGCAAATTATGGGAATGATCAAAGTTTTGTCAGTTCAAAAAACTTGCCGGTATTTTACATTTTTGGTCAATATCTAAGTTATCTTCTCTGAATCTCTACTCAAAACACTAACTGGGTGGATCCAGACATCACGGGCCTTTAATCACATGCTATCTCAAGTCCAAACGCTAGGTGAAATATAAGCGAAGAAATTCGTATTCACTATTCGAGTCTGGGAGCTATAACTTCCTTCAGTCTTTTTATTTGTGTGCTGAGTTTTGGGTACAGTAGGAATTGTAAGTCGTAATTGAATCAAAACAACACAATTGTGGTGACGAAGATAAATAATCGCATTTTCACATCATCAGACGAAATGTTCAATAACATTACCATCAGAGGATCTGCAACCATCTTTCAGTTACAAATGCATCTTGGGTGGATTTTACCAAAAGTTTTATATTGGTACATTCAGTATCAGCCAGTTCGATTCACTTGTTTGATGGAAAGCATTTGCTAGGTGATTAATCGACCTTTAGCATTATGTAATCCCACCTGGACCCTACCCCGACCGTTGTTGCTACCTTGACGTGGTGGTCGGGCTTGTCTATTGTGATAAAGCAACCGAGCTATACTGGCTGGAATGACTGTTCCTCAAGGTCCTACCATGTCAGACAGGTCGGTTGATGAGCGGTAAGACTAAAAGCAACAAACATAAGGTCTGAAGTCGTACTGCTGACTGTACAGAGGTGTGACAGCGGTAAGGTGTTTCCTTCAGACAAACAGCATGACAGCGATGCTGCCTTCCCACAAGCAGGGGTGGGGTCAGAAAAGGTCGACCCTAGAAATGAACACCGAGCCTTATCCCACAGATATCCGTCTCAGACGGTAAGGTCTTAACAAGTACGGAGCTAACACAAAAATTACCCATAAAAAGGTCGTGTGTGACCGACCTCAAGCAGTTGTCCCTTGGGCACTGCGGTCACGCTCCCAGGTCACTAAGACCACCTCTAATCCAGTTTCCTTTTCAGGTACCTCCAGAACAACCCTTCCACGGTGTGGGCAACTGGGAAGTGATAACCGCCCTCATACCTCTAACAGCACTCAGGACCACTGGACCCTAAGGATTTTAATATGAAAGTTGGCATGTAATGACAAATTTACCGAATGACCAGATCTATCTAGTTATGGATTCTGTCTGATTTCATCCAATATATCTTGTTTATTTGCTATTACATCTGATTCAAATAATATTTTCCCATCGACCTCTGTATCCGTGGAGTGTCGCAATTCCCGAATTCATCTATTAATAGTGAGCCCTAATTTCATGATATGAACGGTTATGCACGAACATTATGTAGATATTTAATTTATTATATCTTCTCTCACTCATCGTCTGGGCTTTAGACAGTATAACTCCATCTGTAGCTCTTCTAGGGCTACTGCCGTTCTCAAGCTCAGGCAAAGGTGGAGGGTTGTGCATGGGGTCAACAACCTCAATGTTCTGCACCCACAAATGATAGCAAAGAAGATAACAAAGATCAGTTCTATCAAGAGATGCAATCAATCATAGAGAAGTACACAAGGAATGGTCTCACGATTCTGAAGTAAGACCTAAAAGCCAAAATCGGAATAGACAACAACGGGTATGAAGATTTCATGGGACGAAATGGACTGACTGGGAGAAAGGAAGGAGAGTTCGGCAAATTCATGTGAATTCCACAAAGTGATCATGAGTGCCATTATATCCCCAACAAATACACACAGGACTACATAGGTCTCAACGGATCATACTACACAGAATCAGATCGATCATATTTGCATCAATAAAAAAGTTAGAAGATTCATGGAAGACGTGAGAACCACGAGAGAAGCAGACATAGCTTCAGTTCACCACCAACTGTTTGTGGCGAGGATGAAACTGAAGCTAAAGCAACACTACGTAACTGGAGAAACATCGCTATGAACATTTGATATAGTTTTCCTCCGAGACACTGACAAACTCGATGAATTGAAGATCGCTCTCAACAATAGGTTGCAAGCCTTACAAGATCTACTGAAAGAAGAAGAAACTGCCATGGAGAACAACTGGAGAGTGATGAAAGAAGCACTGACTTCAAAGTGTGAGTGAGTGTTGGATGTCAAGAATGGATCTCTATGGAAAGCGTGATAAAGATTCAAGAAACGAATCTGAAGGAGGCAGCAATTAACAACAATCGACCGAGAACAGAGAAAGTCAAGTCACAAGCTGAATACACAGAAGTAAACAAGTAAGTGGAGTGGAGCATTAGTGATGACAAGGAGAAATGCATTAAAGATCTAGCATCGTAACAAGCTGGTAGGAAAGGAAATATATGAGAACTGAATGATACAACGAGGAGGCGAGCAAGGTAAGTCTTACAAGATCTACTGAAAGAAGAAGACACTCTCATGGAGAACAACTGAAGAGGGACAACACTGGAAATCGGTGCATTGTGGACAGGTCACAGATGCATTCCGTGTAAGAATTGGAGTCGGACAAGGCTGCCCATTCTCCCCCTTGTTTTCTTCTGTTATATGCGCACAAGCACATGATGTGTTTGAATTCGTCCAGCCCGTCACATTTTCATATATTGTTTCATACTGCGAACTATAAATGTAGTGGTGAACTTATTCCATGGGTTCTTAATAAATGTGGTTGTGAAAATGTTATAACTTATGGCCTGAGTGCCCTGTTAATGGATAACGTAATAACACCGCCAATCAGAAGAAGTGAATTATCGATCGGACCAAGGACGCCTAAAACACGTGCAAGTAGCCTAGAGTTCTGATTGGTCCTGCTTTCAGCCTAGCCCAGTCAGTTGAGTCCAGAACACCGATCTCAGTCTCTGGAATATGAATTCTGTATTTCAAACATACTCGGTTTATATACCAATCAAACAGAACACAACGTACCATAATATAGAGAATAACATGTACAAAATTTTGGCCAAATGTGGCTCTGAATGTGGGAGGCAGTGACTAAAACTGTCCTACCTGAGCTTCATAATTGACATCAGTCGGATGATATAACTTTGCCTCAGCGATACGAAATATCGCAACTCAGTGAATCCAAACGATTAGAATTGGAAATGATCTACTATAAGTCTGAAGTAGATATACTAATTGGTTGTTGTGTGCATTATCATTTGTGCAAATAAAGTGGATCTATATATCTGGTGTATTGTACTATATTAAAATACGATGCTCGAAATTCCCGTTCCGAAACATTTTGCTATTCATGCACCCAGACAATTAACTTGCAAATCTGTAAAAATTAACCTTGGAATGTTTTCGGAGATTGTTCGGTTCGAGGTGAGACTGATAGAGTTCAATCATATCAAATATGAGATTGGTTTATCTAATGCATGTGACTGATGGTCTTAACTTGGCAAGTAGAAAAGTTGATGTGAACCATAGGACATTAACTCAGGTAGTTCCGAATCGCATACTCACCATGAAGTTTCATGGTCATGGATTCATATTACTGAGAAGCTTCATACCAGGACAGAAATAATATCTAGTGCTCTCTGTTTTTCAATGGTTATTTATTTGCAGCTAATTTGTGTTGTAAACTATTTTCTAAGTGAACATTTTATAATAATCAGATTTACTACTGATAAGTAATTTGAAAAGTTGATATCCATTCCGGTATTATCAATATTCGAATTTTAACAATCATTCTACTCTGACATTAATGTTAATCTCATTTCTTAAAAATTAACTACGTTTCTCTGATATTCGGACAATTGTCTAGGAAATAACTATCTTATTTTACGTTATGTCGTCACAAACCACAATGTATAATTAACAGTGCTAAGTATTGGGAAGCATGAGGCATTGAACCCCAGTCTATTGACTGGTAGGCTTGTCGTGAGACGTGAATATTCTTTTTGTAATTCGAAGACCCATTTCATTGTAGAATTAAGGTACAAGTAGATTGTAGTCAATGCTATAATAGTGTGCCTAGATAGACATGGGTAATCGATTCCTTATTTCAACGCCACCACAGTTAGGTTTTGGTTCCATTCGTTCGATTAGTAGAGTTGATACCCAGTATTTCAGGTTAATTAACACAGCAGTCATATTTATTAATCCCTAAATTAGTCCCTGGATTACTTCATATAAACGGTTGTTTAAAGCAAACTGGTTTTTAACGGTTCTGTAGATGAGGTCGCTCTACAATGAAAATCATAGTAAAATTAAAGAAATTTCAAGTAAAAGTCAGATGATAATGTCGGTCACCAACCGTACAATATTTTGTAATTTCAACGTTGAAAGATAGTTTTTTTTCGTAAAGACTCAATGATTGTATCATTTTGATATTTTCAATGTCTGAATGAGAATATTTAATTCAAATAAAATCTTTCATTACCCTTCGTTTATAAAAAAAATCTACTAACAAATAAATTTTAACTAACAAAACACATTCATTTCACTTTTATCGGCACATATTTGTTAAAAATGGTACAACTTTTCTGTTTAAATGAAAAGGTCACTTTAAATGATTCATCTATTGACGTATCGAAAAAGAATGAAATAAGCTAATATTTGTCGAATACCAAATGAAGCATTCAGTGACTGAAAGTGATAATACCTTTTTTTCACAGAATTTATTTCAAATCTTTTCTTTCATATAACAGTAAGAAGATTTTTTCAAAATGTGTCTTAAAAAGACAAACTGTAAATTTATCATTAAGTTGTTATCATACAACTTAAAGGATTACTAATTTCTTCGTAGTTTCCTCTTATTTCAGAGTTCGGTAATGTTATTGTTCGTAGTCATGTAACTACTTTGTTTTTCTGGTTACCGTTATTGTTATTTTTTCCCTCAAACCTATCTGTCAGTTAGTATAGTGTTATTACTCAGGTAAATACATATGAAATTAATGTGCAACATGCATTATTTGAAACTTAAGCATTGGAATTGCATTGTTATGAACATTAGTATTAGACTGTTCGTGATCATATCTTCTCCGTTGTTTTACAGTTACTTACACTCACTAAACAGACTATATTGAAACAAATTGGTTGACCATTACATCAGTTTTATTCTTAAAACCATAACAGTGCTATACTATTCAGCTGTTAAAGAGTACCACTAGCTGAAAACAAAAGAATCAGTAGTTATAAAAAAAAACATTGACCATAAAATAGTTTTCAATACTCTTCTTACAATTCTCTGACCCTCTAAAAGTCTTCACTTAGAAAGGAAACCAGTCAATATAGGGACTAAAGTCATGCTGAATGGGACCTTGCTTCAAGTTGAATAAGTTCACTGCATCTGAACACATAACTATAATTTTTAATTAGATTGAAGAAACTCATAGGCTACCATGGGACTGCACCTTCTGACGTTGCTCCACTGCCTTGTGGATCAGACCTTTAGGTCGAAGGCTCAGGGTGTGGCCCCTTAAGATAACCACCTGCTTCGGTTTAGGCACCCTGGCAGTATTCCAGCCCTCACACAAATCCAATAATTTATGTGGCGCATATGTATTTAGTGCCTCCTTGTACCCATGTTTATGTGTTTAAATAAATAAATACTCATAGGTTGGAAGCTATCCATGAGTTGTCAGCACTTAGTAGTAGTTCAAAAGTATTAATCGTGGTTATTATTTTCAATAAGCACTTTAGAGAATCTCAAAATACAAATATCCCCTGTATTTTGCATAACGGCATATTAAAAAATTCTGAAACCATCTTAAACCTTCCCAGTAGTATTCTTGTGAACAGTAATAAACTCTCAAATGATTTCATTTATGAATTCACGTTTATGAATAGTAACTTCAAATATTGTAAGTTTAAAATTTCACTACTTCTAAAACTGTTTAATCTCTATCTCCCTCTCTGAGAACAGGGAATTATCCGTACTGTTGGAAAACCGCATATATTATACCGTGGCATAAATCTAGTGGGAAAGCCAACGGAAAATTATCGGTTAACAAATATTTTTACAGCTATCTTTAGGATAATGGAAAATGTGTTGATGAAATTTTCAGCTATATGCAAAGTGGATACCTAAAAGCTAGACCCTGTATGACCCATCACTATTACTTCTTTAATTTAGTCTTTACTCAATGTAGTCTAGGATAACTAGTCTTGGTGCTAGTTTGATATTTCTAGAGCTTTCGGCATTGATAACCACCAGCCTCTTATATGAAAACTCACATCTTAAGGGATCAGAGGTCACCTGCTTGCTTGGGTTAATTCCTTACTCAGTCATGGACACTAAATATTCGAAATGAATTGCTCCGTATTGGATGGTGACTCTGTCAAAAGTGGTAGTAGTGTCCTAAGTTTTTTGCTCTTTATAACTTATATAAATAATATTTGCAATCGCTTTTGTATGAGTATGTCACTTCTATATGCTAGTGGTCTGAAAATAATGTATTTTTTTCTCTTCATGAGCTGAACAATGAACAAAACTGTATGAGGTGGAACTCAGTAAGGTCGCTTGGTGATCCACAAAAAAGGAATCGGGAACTTATAATTGTTTAAGTTGAAGTGATCGACTTTGGTAATCTTCTCGATTTTGGCTTCACCATAGATGTCAGGGTATTTTCCATGTGTCCTAGTGGTTGAATTGGGTAGTCCTGCAATCTGTACTTCATAGAACAAGTTTTCACATACTCTTCTAAGTCACAATGACGTCTGCGTTATATACTACGTAACCTCCTGCTACTGAGAATAATGGTTTCTAACTGCTGTCTCACATTATTACGACTCCTATGATGAATATCTCAAAATAATTTGTGAAACAAAAATTTTCGAACACTTTAATATTGATATAGGTGATTTGTTAAAATTGTAGTTGAAATCACGGATCTATCCAAGCTAGACTACCATTGAAAATCTGTAAGCACTGTGTGGTCTTTTCACCCTAGTATGAAACTCTTCAACTGCGTACATCCACAATCTTGCACGAGGAACTGGAACCCAAGACTTTCCGTCTCGCACGCGAATGCCTTATCTCTAAACAATTGACCTGTAATTCAACAGCGTTAATATCTAGATTCAATCAAACTATAACTTTGCACAACTCTTCGTCCATTACTTGTGGTGGATAACAGTCTCACGCCCGACGCGGATTGGATTCCACTGGTCACGACTTCTCACTAGAACTCCCAGAGTGACATCTTCGAGCTGGTCGTTACTGAACACATGATCGATATTAGTAGGGGGACTTGTGAGGTTAGGCATTAATGTTGTTGTATGCTTGCACAGTGGTTTCAAGTTCAAGTATTTGTGCGTGGGACCGAAAATCCTGGGTTTGAGTTCCTTGTGCGAGATTCTGGGTGTGAACAGCTGAAGAGTAACATACATAGACAAAATAGCTGCCCGGTTCTTCTAGGTTTTCAATGGTGGTCTAACTTTGATAGATTTGCGATTTTAATTGTGAAAATCTAATTGCAAAATTTTGTCCTTCACGTGTAACATAGCTTTATGTATTATTATGAATATGCCTAGAAATGAGCTTGAGTTCCTTAATTATTTCCAAAACATTTTTGCTCATTACATTTCTGTTCTTGTTTCACTCTGTAAGTAGACGAGATTTCAACATCAAATTAAACTTATTTTCTGGAAAACGTGACCTATTATTTAACTAATAATTATTTTAAAGTTGTGTTACTATAATAATAATAATAATAATAATAATAATAATAATAATAATAATAATAATAAATAGTGAAGGTTTATTTATGGATTGATTTTGTCGTCAACGTAAATGTGTCAACACATAAATAGAGCAAATTAATACGAACAATCGCATATCGAACCAATTTCATGATTATTGATTATCATGTATTCATAAACAAAGTATGAGTGATATATGCATGTTTACAGTTTTGTGTTAATGAATTAATTTGTGTCCACTTGTACATAAAATGTGTATGGCTAAATTTAAATTAGACATCAAACCAGTCAGGTTTATATTTGAAATCTTATGTGTAAATATTTGTCTCTCTCAGTGTTGATCTCTATGTTATACATACACAAACTTATTCGTTTTCTAATGTTACTGTAAAGCCGAGTACACAGTATCATATTGTTCCAGGAACGTGAAAGCTTTGGGATTTACAACACCAATAGATTAAAACAGATGATAAACAATATTGTGATATCGTAAGAAGAATTTTTATCAAGTCGCTAGAATTCATAGTCGAAAATATATTCTATCTTGTTATTCCTTGAATTTGCTATCATGATGGAAATGGTACTATCTACAAAACATAATCCATTGGTAATAAGTTACTCGGTATTATATTACGCTCTCTTATTGACATGTAAGTAAAAAGATTATAATGAAATATGCACATTTTTTATAAAGGTATGGTTCATACAAATTCACAAACAGTATTCATTCCTGAAGTAAGTAATCAACTACTATAATTTTAAAAAATATGAAATTATCTATTTTTTGGATAATTTTCTAGTTTCAAGATTCAAGCTTACACTTGGAGACATCGGAAGTTTTTTTGTTTTTGAGAGTCATTCATTTATGTGCATCAATTAGCGTTTACATTAGATAATAATTAAGGTTTCCGTTTCACTTAAGGTTAAGTCGAAGAACGAAATTCAAATGTCATTGCCAAGGTTAACCGTAAGACATAGGTATGTAACTCACTTGGATAATTGTAGTTTGTCGTGTTTTGTCACCGAGTTCAAAAATAGAGCTGACATATTTTCGATGATTGCTAGTGGAGCTAATCAAAGAACCACCCATATTTTAATACCTGTGAACAAATGAAGGGTTGTTGCTTGTAAAAGATTAATATTGGGGTCGCTATTTTATTCATAATGGATTGAACAATGTCCATAAGGTAATAAGTAAGCTGTTGATATTTATAAAGTTTATCAGGTGCTGTCTTCGTACAACTTGGTTAGGGGTGTAAGAATAATTGACCCTAAGGATACCAAAATTAACCTTACTCCTCTGATTACCGTTTCTGGGATAAAGGCATGGATGCTCCCGAGCTAACACACCAAAAACCGTTTACTCAGTGGACATATGTGACTGATTCAGGTAACTGACTTTTGATCCCTGGAGTCACGATAATGGGTTGACATGACCACTGTTAACCCAGTTCCCATTCCAGACACTTTAAGAATAATATCCTTCCACAGTTTTGAAATCTGAAGAAGATAACCATCCTCATAGCTTTAGTAGCTTTCAAGGTCATGTCCGAGATCAATACCTTCCTCACTTTTTAATACTTATTCTATTCCCACTATCATCTATCTTCTATGACTTCATCGATTTCCATACTCACCATTGACGCTAACAGCATCAAATTACAAAGTGTTACTATTGACTTGTATTCCTGGAAATGTATGACGTATAATCGACCGTTCCCTAAGTGGATATGTGATGACTGGCGGCGGTGGAATAGGTTGGGAAAAACTGAGGATGACTATACTCAGACGAAGCATCAGTCTATGAAGTCACTAAACACTGAATTGAGTCACCTTAATAAGTTCAGGCTACCTGGTTGGAGTTGTGTGATTAACGTAAGTAACTGTGGTAGATGGAGCGTGATGTGATATAAGTGTATTTACTATTTGTTTCCCTTCAGATTCTGAGTTTCAAAATTATTTTATAAGCTTAATTCCGAAAACTAACTTTTTTTTCTTGAACCGTATTCCGTATACCTAACTACATTTACTACAACTGGTTCTGCTGCACTCACTACTTTAGTATTCATTTTGATAATCTCATCTTGCTGTGCTGATATGGACGACATCGGGCAGGGAGATATCATGGGACGACATGGACTGACTGAGAGAAAGAAACTCGAATGACGAGAGCTTAGCAAATTTATGTGAATTCATTAAATGCATACACATGACTACATAGGTCTCAACGGATCATACTACACAGAATCAGATCGATCATATTTGCATCAATAAAAAAGTTAGAAGATTCATGGAAGACGTGAGAACCACGAGAGAAGCAGACATAGCTTCAGTTCACCACCAACTGTTTGTGGCGAGGATGAAACTGAAGCTAAAGCAACACTACGTAACTGGAGAAACATCGCTATGAACATTTGATATAGTTTTCCTCCGAGACACTGACAAACTCGATGAATTGAAGATCGCTCTCAACAATAGGTTGCAAGCCTTACAAGATCTACTGAAAGAAGAAGAAACTGCCATGGAGAACAACTGGAGAGTGATGAAAGAAGCACTGACTTCAAAGTGTGAGTGAGTGTTGGATGTCAAGAATGGATCTCTATGGAAAGCGTGATAAAGATTCAAGAAACGAATCTGAAGGAGGCAGCAATTAACAACAATCGACCGAGAACAGAGAAAGTCAAGTCACAAGCTGAATACACAGAAGTAAACAAGTAAGTGGAGTGGAGCATTAGTGATGACAAGGAGAGATGCATTAAAGATCTAGCATCGTAACAAGCTGGTTGGAAAGGAAATATATGAGAACTGAATGATACAACGAGGAGGCGAGCAAGGTAATATGGTAAACCAGAGGGAACAATCAAGGACAGAGGAGGCAAGCTAATCACTGGGATTGGAGAACAGCTTACTTGATTATGACAAAGAGTTTGACAGTGTGGATAGGAGAACCCTGTGGATCGTTCTCCGATACTGTAGTGTTAGTAGCTGAGAACATCGCTAACAGCATGAAGATTTCATACGACGGAATACACTGCCAAGTCATTTATGGAGGACAGCTTGGAGACGCTTTCTGATTAATGACCGGATTCGGACAAAACTGTCCATTCTCCCCCTATCTATTTCTTCTGTTAGTCGTTTGGATTATGAAGTCCTCAAGATCTGAGGCGAATCGTGGAATACAATAGACAGCCCGGATGCGACTAGACTACGTGGACTTTGCAGATGACCTATCTCTTCTATTCCATACACACAAAGAAATACATGTGAGGATAGCCAGTGTAATAGTAGCGTTTTCAGGAGTAGATTTCAATATACGCAAGGGAAGAAGTAACATCCTCAAACCTTAACTCGGAGAACGCCAACTCGATCACACTTGATGGAGAAGCATTGAATGAGGTTAAAACGGTCTTAGATGTTTTTCTAATATGAACAGACTGCGTTAGTAGAATAAAATTGATAGCTGGAATATTTCTTTCCTGAATAATTCTGAAAACGACAGAATTCGATTTATTTGGCATTTTAATGTCCAACACATACATTCTGTCCACTAAGTAAATGAGTCACGATGCCTACCCAAATGTTTAACGGATATGATCTTTATTATTTTTTAACAGGTTTGTGTTTTCCTGTTGTTTCCGCTGAGTTTCAGTCAAATCATCAACATTAAGATGAAGATACGTTGAAATAATGTAACGGGATTTCACTTCTAGCCATTATTCAAAAATATAAAGAAAAAATTTATTGACATCAAACAATGTTATAAGGAAACAAAACTCTGGTTTTGAACGAAGATATCATAGAAGTATGAAAAAAACAGTAGTGGAACCTGTATATCGTACAGTATTTCTCTTAAAACATATAAATTGAATGTACTCGGTTAGCTTCAATATCATTTATTGAAAACGATGCTAATCATTTGTATAATAACGGTAGAAACTGACCAATTCACCTTAAGTATCAACTCATAATATTTCATAAGTCTTTATTTATAGTAGCGATTCGTATCATTGTAATAATATATTATTGTGTTTTCCAATACAAAAATCGCTTTTAATTGCTTAAAGTTATCAGAATTCATAGAGCAGACAAAGAAAAACGAATCTACTGTAAAAGAACTGCTAGTCGACTTATTAACTGCTGACAATCTATCACAAGTTCAATATTCAGTTCAGAGTATACCAGTTAGACTGAATGTTTCACTTACGAATGTAGAATATTGTCTCAGTATGGTAAGAATATTTTCAAAACATATCTAATATTTTTTTAATAGAAGGAGCTTTTTGATTTTTAAATGGATTAACAGTTGTTCTGTGAGGAAAACTATATTTATTTTAAGAGTTTTAAACTCTTATATCTTAAGCGAAGACTAAAATTAACTACTTTAGTCGTTAACTGTATATCCTCATCAATGAAAGCCTTAGAGTTTAACTTATGGGTGATAGATAGCACCGTTCTCTGAAGATGGTTAGTGCTCGATCAATATTTGAAAGGAATATCATAATATTGAATATAAAGTGATTTGCATTATTAGATGACTCATGTAGTGAATTAAATTATTTTTATTATCGTTACAAGTTTTACCAATCGATAAAGTCAGTATCACGTTGACTACTATCAAGTGAATAGCGTAGGGTTCCATGCGCATCATTGAATTTCTCAACAATGAAAATCGTGATATTATTTGACTTGAAAACTTACGGTGGGGTCACGGACGTGCACAGTTGAGGAGTCACATTATGGAATGAAACTTATGTCCATTGCTTGTTTTAGGAAGAAAACAAAGAATGAGTTGAATAGACTCACTTATTTATTTATTTACCACTATTACTCCTCGTGGAGGAACATAGGTCGTTCACTAGCATTCTCCATCCAAACCTGTCCTGGATAATCCTTTCCAGCTCCTTCCAGTTGTTATTCATCCTTTTCATATATGCGTCTATTTCCCGACGTAATATGTTCTTAGGCCTTCCACTTTTCCGCTTCCCTTCAGGATTCCAAGTTAGTGCTTGCCTCGTGATGCAGTTTGATGATTTGCGTAATGTATGTCCTATCCATTTCCATCGTCTTTTCCTAATTTCTTCTTCAGCTGGAAGCTAATTTGTTCTCTCCTAGAGAAGGCTGTTGCTGATTGTATTCGGCCAATGGATGATGAATATCTTGCGTAGACACCTATTTATAAATACTTGTACCTTCTTGATGGTGGTCGTTGTAGTTCTCCAAGTTTCAGCTCCGTACAGTAGAACTGCCTTGACGTTCATATTGAAGATTCTGATCTTGATATTGGTTGACGGTTGTTTTGAGTTTCATATGTTCTTCAATTGAAGGAGTGCGGCTCTTGGTTTTCTAATCCTTGCCTTTACGTCTGCATCTGAACGTCCTTGTTCATCGACGATGCCACCAACCAGGTATGTGAAGGATTCTACATCTTTCAGAGTTTCACCATCAAGAGTGATTGGATCGCTGTTCTCCGTTTTGAATTTAGGGACCTTGGTTTTCCCCTTGTGTATTTTGAGGCCTACTGATGCAGAGATTGCTGCTACACTGGTTGTCTTTATCTGCATTTGTTCTTGTGTGTATGCGATAGGAGGGCTAGGTCGTCTGCGTAGTCTAAATGGTTTAATTGGTTCTGGACTGTCCATTGTATACCGTGTCGAGGTCTTCATAATACAGTCGGCCACTAGAAGAAAGAGGAAGGGAGAGAAATTGAATAGAACAACCACGCAAATGCATTCTATCCATTTTATTTCTATTTAAAAACTCATGTAGTGACAGAAATTAATATTGATGTGTAAGTCAACATTTACACCAATAATATAATTCTGTTTGAACAATTATCATATCAAACTGTTATTGACTTGTTGTTCAGAAACTGGTGTTATATTTTATCTGAGGAATAGCTACTAATAAGAACAATCAAACCTGGGTATAATTTCAGATACTTATTCTTGTAATTCGGTTTTCATTATAGACTTCCATCGACGGAAAAACAAGATATAATTGACACTTTTTCATAGATTTGTACTTTTTGGTGTCCATTCATGACTTCAAGTACATGAGCTTCAAGTTTCTTCAGTAACTAGGTACCTTTAGAAACTGAGTTTGAATTCAGTTATCAAGTGGTTTAGCACTTTTTAAAGCCTCTTTTATCTGAGTCTCTTAAGAGTCTCAATCTAAAAAGTAAAAATTATCTGAAGCTCTCTGTTTCTGAGCATTCAAAATCATTGTTCAATATATTAAATAAAAATGCATGTTATAATTATTTTCTTTCTTCATTAAAGTACTAGATAAGACGGCAGATGTTTAGGTAAATACTTCTGTTGTTGAACTTATCATATTTTCATAACCACTTTTTTTTAAAAAAATTATCTTTCATTTAGCTTTTAACCAACAATCAAAGTTTATGTCTTTTTCAATTCTCTTCTGATATTCTAATGAACATGGAAAATAGTTCATTAACCCTTGTAAATAATAAACATACATTGCCTTACATAACTAGATCATTTACTCAACTCAAACCAGTATTAATTATGAAATGTTTCAAAAATAATTGTTCAAGTCAATTAGATTCATCATTTTTAAACGGAATGTATTTTTTATATACATTCCATTCATCTATTTGGTCATTAATTCTACTATATACATTGACAGTAAGTATACATTGCTATAATATTAATAAGTATTCATTTGTATTGAACTATTTTTAAAGTTATTGTGATTTTTATTGGGTTGCTTGTGTTTGTGGAGATTACCTATAATTTAAAAGTGATTTTTGTTAAATGATGAAATAAGTTTACGAACTGTCGAAATTAAAAAAATAACTGATCATCGTTTGTTATCACTTAGTAATTTACATTCAAAGTTTTACCTAGGATCGGAAATCGAATCTTCAGATCTAATCTTAAACATAATTTTATTGAAACCACTTGTGATCAACTTTAAGTTAGAAATTTTAATATATGCTATGACACGTGAAGGAAAATAAGTCTGCAATGAAACAACTTTCCACAGTTCATATTTGAGTAAATTGTGCTTTTCCAACTGTGGTAGAACATATAGACCATACATACCATGTGTTATGAGATAATGTTTAGCCTTTGATAGATTTATGTCTAACATGAAAGTACACTGTGCTAAGAGAGTATACAGAACACTTTGTAGGATTCTGAAAGAGAAAAGAATGAGAGGAAATTAAGCAAATGATCCAGTTAAGACGAGAAATGTATAGAATTTTAAAGGTGAAAGTTGGTAATAACAACTAATAATGACACACTTGTATCGTTGAGATCACCTTATAATAAAAACTAAAAGTTTGCAGAGTAAAGTTTCGTATGAATTACATAAACTCATTAGTTTCGATCTTGTATTCATGTAAAATGGATGTCATAAACTATAATAATTTCTGATTGACTAATAATTTCTTGCTACTTACAATGACCAGAACTTATGTACATTTCTTCATCACTTCACATTTTATATTTAAACAGACCGGTTCATTGTTATTTGTGTTCGAGTATACAAGACCCTCATGTGACAAATATACAAAAATTTCACCTTCAAATGAACCAAGTTTGAATTTGTGGGATTCATACGTGTACGTTATTATGGGATTATTCTTACAATGTAAGTAAGTGATTTAATTGGTAGTGTCAGTACGTCATCTACAGTGCTTAAGAATATTATTAATAGGTATCTGTCCTGTTGTGATATGGTTATCTGTTTACAGAAATTTGTTTTAACTAATGACTCATATGTTGAAATCGTGATTCATATTGAAGAACATTGTTAACTATTGGTATTTATCCAACTGTTTTGTACCATTATCTCTTTTTTTTCTTAAATGTACTGTCTCTTAGCATAAAAAATGATAAAACTCACAAAGCGTTGAACTGAACTTGAACAGCATGTAAATCTTTTTCATGAAGCATATGGTAGATGCACCGCTTATAATAAGTGGCTTATGATGGTCAACATTGAGAGTGAGATTCAGGCTTTGTACCAGTTATCTCTTGTCTGAAAGATGTACCTATAACAATAAGGTTACTGATACTCTATGTGGGATTTGGGCAACATGACTGATAAATTTAATCGCAACAATGAACTAGACAAATTTAATATTGCTTACTACTCTGCGATCAATCACTGAACGTAACATATTGAAGTCAATGCTGAAATGAAGTAAACACATATTATAATTTAATGATTGGACATGTTAAAATTTATCAGCATGATTAATCAGCGACTTCGAGGATTCTATGAAATCTGAACTAATGTCACATAGACAATCACAGATGACGTTAGTAAATTTTCAGCTTCTAACTGAATCTCTATGAAAACTACCCACATCAATAATCTTCAAGTAGTTAGTTAACAATGTTACACTGTTCATTCACACTGAGTTTTTTTACAAAATTTTATACATTTTTAAAAATATGTAGTTAAGCACAGAATGATTATTCTATGATTTAAAATGTGATTTAGATACTATTTCGGCTAAGCTTTTAATTAAACATCTAAGTGACTTTAACTTAAATTTTAGTTTTCCATGATGGTTTCAAATAAGATGAATGCTTGATAAATTGAACGAATCCAGGTTACACAATTTCTCTGTGGTTTTACGAAAATTTAGATCCAGCTTTACGGAAGCTAAGGTGAATAGGTGGATTGTTCACCTAACCTTCATAAATGTTTGGTTTTGTTTGTAAGCTTAGATCTACACAAAATTTGTGGGTATATTCATTCAGCATTCGATAATATTCCAACATGAGCCGTATTATGTTATCTAATCTAATTGGATTAGTTAAGCATTTGGAAAGTAAATAATAGCGGAATTAAACAATTAATAATGCCAATCCGACAGAGCAAATTTTTGAATGTCATGGTGTATACTCATTTAGGCAAATCTTTCGTACTCGTTGTGTAATATGAAAAATAAATAATTTCCTGATTCGTGCTATAAATTTCGAAAAATCTGGCCAAAAACATACTTCTAATGATATGTGTATAGGAAACTAGGGTAATTACTCCGTTTAAAATTTGCGCCGCAAATACATAAAATTTGTCAAATCAACTCTGTCTTCTCATTACACTATTATAATAAGTAGAAGAAATAGTTTTAAGTTTTGCTCACTACGTATTTTAGTAGTTATGACATAGCTAGCATTCAAGTTAGAGATAAGACAGTGTACAAGCTTGATGGCATGAAATTGTTATTCGACTTAAGTACTCTTTGAAGTACAAACCAATTAGCATTATGTATAAACATCAAAACTGTCATACTTTATAATGGGGATTAATTGTTTTGAATGCCTGTGACGTAAGTTTTGACCGACGAGTTATTCACTTTCATATGTAACACTGTCAGCAAAATAAAATCACTAGAAATTTTCTCTTAATAAATATTAATATCTGAATTAGTACAAATCTAAAATGGAGTTATATGTCTTTTTTAAAAATATTACGCGTACTTTGGTGCCACAGTTCGAATAAAAGTTAACCCGTAATAAAGGTAATAATCAATGAAAAACCATCATTATCTGATTTTGAATAATACCCAGTCTGCAAGAAGGATGGCAACCCTTTTAAGGTTGAAAACTATTGGTGAATTCGCTTTCTTCATTAAAAAATTCAAACCATTAATATGACTTCCGCCTTTAACAATTACAATGAAGTCGATTGCATACTTATAGTTGAGTGTTCAAATTTCTGTGATCTGACCATCTTCCTAAATACCACAACTAATTAATTATTTTCAAAGACGCTATTCTAAACCAAAATATTTGGTATATAGCTTAAACCTTTACGTATGATGCGATTCCCTTATGAAGAGCCACATGAGACGGTCATCCAGTCCTAAATGTTTTCACTAGTAATCTATCTAAGATCATTTGGTGATTTAAACTTCAAAATGTTTTGATCTGATTCGATGAGTAATTCTGGTTTTTATTTATAAACGAATATAGTTTAACATATAAGCATAGATCACATGGATATTTCTAATATATTTATACGATTTTATAATATTGTTTGAAATTGTATCATTTTTGACAAACAAATGCACTATTTCAGCTGCCATTAACCATTTATCGAAAAATTCGTCGACATAGCAATTCCCTTCGGGAAAGTAATTTTGATATGCTATGCAGTTTAATTTCAAGAATAGCAGTTGATTGATGAAATAAATTACTTTACCAAAATGCATTGGTGAAAAATAAATACACCTTGAAAGTACATTTGTATTATAATTCACGCAAAACACCTGTGAAGCACTGACCATAAGATGACTGGAAAGCTGTATTTATCTTATTTTGGTACTGTTTTATAGTGTATATACCCGATTATCACATGAAAGATGGAATGGGTGGCTCAAAACATGAAGGTTGTGAATTTTATGCCATGTTAAAATGTGAGATTAGTATCATTATAGAATTTTAAACCGTGATGAGAAAGTTGTTCACTTCTACCTGATTTCTAATGGATCACCAGCTGAAGTCAGCTTTTGACATAAAATACATTACCGTAAAAATACACCATTAAAATACTTACAAAAGATAGCTATATACTATTATACAACGGTCAAATAATATATCAGAAAAAAATATTTTTCCGAAAATCTCTTGCAAATGAGACTGAATACATTGTTGCTAATTTTAAGTGTAATTGGAAAGGAATTTCTCATTGTGAGATGATAAAATGTTATAATTGAGGTGAAATGTAGCTAAGAAGATCGTCAATGCAAAAATGATAGAAGGGGAGTGAATGGCTGTGAAAGAAGAATGAAGAAATCGTAAGTGATTAAGAAGATGATGGAAGAAAAAGTTTTATGAATTTCTTTTGTACACATTTTATTTTAAGATATAGTGATCAAATAATTCATTCTGTGTTATTATAGTCATCATAAATCTTTTTTTCTTTTTCTTAACTAATTACAATACAGTGAAATTATCTTAGTACAAAGTTATAGATATGTCTTCTAACTTCGCTTTCTTGGCTAGATAACTTAACTTAATAATACACAGCGGTATCACTGAACACAGCAGCAGACTGGAAACATCAAAAATTAACTTCTTTTAACTTCTATGCTTTTTTAATAAAGGTTATTCAATCGAATAACAATCAATAGCTATTACAGTTTATCATGTACTTGTTAACCAATTACAGGGACTATATTCAAAAGTCTATTGGTTTCGAAAGCGAATTTGTATTTATAAATTTAAGCCTATTTTGTGTGAAATGCTTCTTTTTTGAACATATCTGTCAATCAACTACTTCATTTTTCTTTTAAACTTAAGTGCAGAGGAAAACTAAAAGGCGGATAAACTTCATTGAAGTATTATAAACCACTTTTAATTTTTAAATAAGTCTTACAATGAAATATTAACAGTAGTATCACACTCTTTATATTTTTCTTTGAAATTTAGCCTCATACAAATTGCCTAAATCATGGGGCGGAATAACAATAACTTTATTCTGGCATGCATTTTGTTTAATATGCATTATTGCTTATGCAATGGGTACATCAGTGTTGATTTTCAAACAGTATACCGATAATGACTTGAAATATCATCCTTATTTAAACAGTCAGAACCAAACAATCTATTGTGATTTAAATCCAAATGTATGTAATTATTTTGAAAAGAAGTTCTCTTTTCCAATGAAATTGGTAAGCGGGAAACTTTCATCAGATGACATTAATACATCAGTGATAATATTAACAGATCATATTCATGGTAATTATCTACAATCATTAAAACATCGAAATACTGATTGGAATTATATCAAGTTAGATTGTAATGAAGATGAAAAAGATAATGGTGAGATTGTTAATGACAGTGGAAATTTCCAAGATATGCCTCTAATGGAAATGGGATTTTTAACATTCAGTGAAAAATCACTTTGGAAAATGAATGTATACTTGAAAGTGAGTTTAATGTTTGAAAATTTCAAAATAACCATGAAATAGTTTTGGTAATGGATGACTAAAAACAATTATTCGCGTATTGACTTCACCTTGGGAACTATTGAGAATCTGACAATAGTGGATAGCTATCTCGTCCTAGTTTGTGATCACTTCTTGATTCGTAAGGGTTCCGCAGTTGACATTTGTAAATGAAGAAAAAGATTTACTGAATATTCACCTAATCTGCACAATCCATCTGAATTATTAGCGAAATAAATTTCATATTGAGTCCAAACTTTTCTCAAAAGTTACGTCCAGTTGCCTAACGTTTGTGTATGTGTGTGTGCTACCTGGGAAATCACAACATATCAGGCTACAATCTTGCTTTAACAATAATGTTAATAGGTTAATTTAAACCTGATTGTAATTTACATATTTTTGCAGATTTCATCATCATATTCACTATTATTCAAATCAGGCTGCTGATCAGATTCATTACACGCTAATTACAGTTAATACAAATTGAAACACAGTTACTAAGTTGTTTATAGCGTAACAGCATAGTATATTTAATTTAGAAATAAAGTAGAAAGACCCTACTATTTTTTAAAATTTTATTATACAGGTGACTGGTTGCGTAAAATGTAAGCATATTTCATTAGCTACTTTTATTGACTTCATTTCGGTCAGTTTAACTTTTTAGCACGAAAATTCGTTAGTTTTTGTAAATTCCTAAATTCAAGGTTTTGTATTTTTATCAATAAATCTGGGTCATTAATTTTAATGATCTCTTTTATCAGTCCTAATAGTATCGTCACCATTTTATTCCAACTACCAATTCTACTGATCATTTTATTAATAGGAATAAAGTGAACTGAATGGGGAAATAAGTATTCTTAAGACATATCATATAATCCAAAATCCCTTTGCCCTCAATAGAAAAAAGGGCAGAATCTTCATCCGAATTGGGATGTTTTTTTAATTAATCACATTCAATTCTGTTCATTTCACCCACAATTAACAAACAAACAAACTCAAATTTTAACTGTACCCTTTCACATTATAATTTCACTTTTTTCATACCTACCATCAAATACACAGATAAACTCAGTGATGTCTCACACAGAATCAACTTGACTAAAAATAGAATAACATTGATATATTCATACATATTTTAGTTTTGACTGTATCAGAAACATTCAGCTCTTTTTCCTATGTGTTGTCCAAACTTGTGATAAGTTAGTTCGGTTATTTATTTGTTTATTTTGAAGAAGTAGTTTACATTAGGTCACGAAGTTTCAGAAGTTCAAATTACTACTCATGGGGGGATATCATAAATATATCTTCAAATAGTTACTGACCCCTTTTGACTAAATAATTGATAAAAATCTGGTTAATAATTTATATTTCTCATCATAGACTAATAATAATTAGATATTTTAAATTATGCAGTCCTCTATAAGTTAATTGTTATTTGTCTTTTCAAATCTATCATTATTTTAAATAGTTTCTTCCCATCTGTTTTCCCATATCATATTTTCAAGTACTTACAGGATTCTGGAAGACTCTACAGCATACAATATAAAAATGAACAGGCATTTGACTTTACAACTAAACTTCAAGTACATAACAATTTATGTGTAACAAAAGAAGACAGAAATTCAAAAATTCCAATACGTTTAAAACAAATGAACGGACCATTGTTATTTATGATTATCGGAGGCTTATGTGCTGTTATTATGCATATAAGTGAATATATTTATTATATTGTTATGAATAGATAATTTTTCCAAAGATTTATTTCCTCTGGAGAAATTATTCCTTGAATCATTAAAAACTAATTGACACATAAATAAGTAAACTTTTATCTATTGGTCATTGTGTTAAGTTTACGATGGCTAGAATTGATTTACCAATTAGTGGTGATCAATAAGAGCTTAATTTGCAAATGTATTATTAACACCTATTGATATGATTGAATGCATTAAAATGAATAAATATACTATTTTATTGACATAGTTTTCTTTATTAACATCGGATGAACTACGACTTTATCAGTACGATATGAATTCATATTAATTCACTAACCTCTCATCAAGTGGAGTATTCGTGCAACCGAAATAGAACAAAATGTGTAAAAGTGTTTATATAGCGAGACAATAATTTATGGATGAACCAATCAGATATATGATAATGAGTCATGAATTTTGGCGCGAAATTCATCCATACATTTGGCTAAATAGAGTTTTCGCGTTAAACCTGATGTCATTTCGTGATGAAAACCCAAAATCTAATTTTAACCCTAACCATCAACTGTAAATGAAAATTCTAACTGGTTTATAACACTCATTTAGTCCTAATCAGTATATGTTCACTCTCAAGGTCACTTGAACGTCGCTCAAAGGTCGTCCACAAATGATAGTCTCACTAAACAATTTATCTACCCAACCACATATTGATTGATGTTTTAGTATTGATAGCTGAGTTGTTCAATACTCAATTATTAAATTGAATAGAACTGTTACAAATCGCTGAAAAATGTGAACATCGCGGTAAAACGTCACGCCATGAGTTTTCGTGAACTTGTGCACACGCTTTACTGATTTGTTCATCATATTATTTTTAGGTTAACATGAGATTTCTGTTATGTATTTCCAATAGTCACTTAAAAAATTGCATCAAACAAAGATATTGATAACAATGAACGTAGTTAGCACACTTTATATCTTTAACTTTTTTAGATTCTATCAATGCAAAATGTTGTACTATTCTGAAATGAATTATTCGCTGAAAGGCTCAGTTATACGGAAAGTGATTTGCTTGTAACATAGTAATGGGTAAAATAGTGAATCCCATACCTTAAGCATTGTTGTATAAGGCATTTCCTAAGATAGTTAATTTATAGATGATATCAATACTGAGTATCTTTTTTCATCCTAGACTATTTTCTTTTTGTGGACAAGTAACAATCGACAATCAGACACTGAAACATTGTCACCTAGATAAACAGATAACTATGGTCTATTCTGAACTTTGTTAAGTAGCAGTACAAGTATCACTTGAATAATGTACAATCAAAAGGTCATAACTAAAAGAACAGATTGCACTGTAAAGTTATAGTGCATCATATATTGATTCACAGTGTGTATATGCAACTAAAATAACACTAATATTCTATTCATAGAAAAATCTAATTACTTTCCGATTGAATCAACTAATCACCAACTGTTTTGTAAAGATGATTCGCCATTCTTATTGATTTTATTATGAATGTATCTCATCATTATGTCAAAAACTGTCAACTGAAACGTTTATAGTTTGAGTTATGATACACTGTATAGATATATTTATAACTTGTTAAGTGGACAATTATTAGAAACATTTATCACTTCAAAAATTAAAGTTCTAATCAAGTAACAATGTGAAGTATAACAGTTTAAAATAAGGGAGTTTGTTATTGTGGAAAAAGAAAGAAATAACTCTGTTACTTGTTTGCATATATATGTAATTTCTCGGCTAAACTACATGTTACTAGCAGTTTTATATGTATCCAAAGTTCTGAAGACAATTATAGTCACGAATCATCATCATCTGGATAACCATTAACTACGTGGGAACAATAAATATTTGTTTTCATCTCACTAGGAATCCTTAACCTAAAGGTGAATTTCCTGGGGTTTTAGAGCAAACGCTTGACTAGTCAGTCAGTCATCAACATCATAGACTCTGGCACGGATATTTTTTGCCCTTTCTGCTAAAACTGTATTAATATGCTGAGATGTAAACAACAGGACGACGTGCGAAAGAGATGGGAATATTGTAGTAGCAATTATAATGAGAAAATATAGATTTTGGTGAAAAAGTTTGAAAAGACATAGTAGAAAGATATATTTGAAGAAGTATTTTAGTTCAATATTCGAAAAAACATGAAAAATGAATCCATTTGTTTCGTGAACAGTTCCGAGTTATGTAACTCAAAGTTTCCAACCAATGATTGGGGTTATGTTAAAGAACCCAAACAGAGTCTGAAATTACTAAAATGACGCAGGCTAATAGTCAATGATTTTATGGACTGATCCCATGACTGGAAAGTCAAGTAAGTTGGACGTAAAGCAAAAACATATCGACGACATCGACTAACGGTCATAGTACATCAAATACCTAACTACACATCTGTGGATTTCAAACCACTATGTAAATTTATTGTATTCTCCATGATAGGTGTATGTCCTAGATTTATCCAATGGTAGATTTTAAACGCGGACAACTCAAATGTCTCAAACTAGAATGAAATAATTGTTAATCCTTCTCAATGATATCAATCCTGGATTAAAGCTACATTCAAAATTATACAAATCCTCTCGTGAATCACCAAATAAAATAATCAAAGTTTTGTTAATTGTAACTCGTAATGTTAAGTCACTAACGCCAATGATAATTTATATTCACAATCAAAAGTTATGTTTAGAATCTATTGTGTTTTTCATCATTCCAGTTCATAATAACTAAACGCGGCGGCCTTTGAAGCGTACGGCACTGGGTTCGAGTCCCGGGGTGACCCATCCAGCTTATGAGTCTCAAATAGGACAAAAGGAGTGTCAAACTGGATTCCACTGCTAGCCACCATCCATCTTTGCTTAAAAACCTTGTGACCTAAGGCTATATCGAGACAATCCGCACAGAGACTGATCAATTGCAGTTCTAAATAACAATGGAAAGATACAAGTAAAAAAACAACACCAAGTGAATTTTAAAAATGTCTTAAAAATTATCAGTATAGGGTTGTGGAGATTACTAAGTTATTGATTGACATCTTGAACCGAGTGATGTTAGACTATCATTGAAAACCTGGAAGTGTTGGACGTCCGTTTCGTGCTATTGTGGGACTCTTCAGCAGTGAGCACCCACGGTCCTGCCCGCGGGATTCGAACCCAGCGTATTGAACAGGAACATCAGCGGGGACAATCGAATGCGATTAACACAACATTACAGGACCTGTTAGTAAAATCTAACAATCATAAAGTAAAGGCTTAATTTGCAAAATGTACATCAATTGTCTCATAATAACTCAGACTTCATTGTTCTTACATTTTCATACAAAATGCATCCTGTTCCCATTCTTTACTGTTCGATCCTCTTGTCTCTACTGTCAGACCTTCTGTTCAAGAATAACATTATATACTACTTATGTCAATATAAGTAGCACACATCATACCAGGACGCTTAACCTACTTAAATTAATTGAAAACTGTTTCATATTAATTAGATTTTATTCTGAATAATAAACTATTCAATAATTAATACAATGAATGAATTTTCAATATAAATAAAACAACTTTTGTTTATTGTATTAAATTGAATCATGAATTTCATAACATAAATGAAGTGATTTTAGGAATAAACAATATTGTATCAATCAAATTAATTAGTATATTTCTTAATCGTTTTATATACACTGATCATTTATTAATAACATTAATTAAGTGTCTGATTTTGTACAAAAATATTTATTGATCAATAAAGAAAACAATGAAATAGTTTTTTTTCATACTGAATTTGACAATAACTGATCACAATAATCAATTATTAAAATATTTTTTCTTAGATATTGATTTCTATCTGGATTTTTTTAAAACTAGCACTATGGTTTCCATTTAATGTTTTAAGGTATTTGATTATTAAATAGATTTTTTTCCTCTCAGAGACAATAATTGATAATATGTTGGTGTATAAACTGGTGATTAATACAGATTCATTTATTATCTCACGATAACGTTAAGTAGAAAAGTAGTAAAATCAGATAATGAAAAATGTAGACGTTTCAATCTAAATTCTCTGGTCCACATTTCAGGATTTAGTTAATTCAGCTAATATAGTTTGATCACCACTCAGTGTTATCGCTAATATGAGGTGTTTGAACCAAAAATTCATGGGTTAACAATACTTACTTATGCCTGTTACTTCTCGTCGAGGAGCATAGGCCATCCACCAGCACTCTCCATTTCACTATGTCCTGGGCAATCATGTCCAGCCCTTTCCAGTTGTTATTCATCCTTTTCATATCTGCCTCTATTTCCCGACGTAATGTATTCTTTGACCTTCTTATTTTCCGCTTCCCTTCAGGATTCCATGTTAGGGCTTGCCTGGTGATGCCGTTTGATGATTTGTGCAATGTATGTCCTACCCACTTACAACGTCTTTTCGTAATTTCCTCCTCAGCTGAAAGCTGGTTTGTCTTCTTCCACAGAATGGTGTTACTGACGGTATTCGGAAAACAGACATCCAGTATATTACGTAGATAGCTGTCCATAAATAGTTATACCTCTTTGATGATGTTTGGATTAGTTCTCCAATACAATAAAACTGACACGACGTTCGTTTCGAAGATTCTGACTTTGATATTGGTTGAAAGTTGTTTTGAGTTCCACATGTTTTTTCAATTGTAGGAATGCGTCCCTTTCTTTTCCAATCCTCGCCTTTACGTTTGCATCCGATCCTCCTTGTACATCGATGATGCTTCTCAAGTACGTGAAAGATTCCAAATCTTTCAGAGTTTTACTAGTAAGTGTGACTGGGTTGGTGTTCTTTGTGTTGTATTTGAGGATCTTGAATTTTCCTTTGTGTTTGTTGAGGCCTACTGATAGGGTTCCCAATAAATCTCAAGAAATTCAATCAAAAAGCCAACAACTATCAATGCAAAGACCCTGTGTTAAATTAGTTGTCTTAGAAATAACTGATTTTTTTTAAGGGTCTCTGTCAGAAAGTGAAATCAGTATACGGAGTTTAAGGTTCTGAACTTGTTGCCCCTTTCGATATTTGTAAGCACTAATAGAGTTATAAATTCTGATAGTACTCTTTGATTTTGCAGATCAGTCCAGCTACAGTCATTTTACGATAGAAACTATTTTCTGATAGTCGCTATAGCATAAATAACCAGAAAAAGTATCTGCGTTTTATTCAGACATCTAGTGATCTATAAAAGGTGGAACAATAATCAAATCAATCAATCATATG